AGTTTTACAAATACTCTTACTTCTGATGATTTTTTTCTATTTTAAATTGTGAAAATTGGCCTTAATTTAGCAGAATTACGTATATTTTTTTCTGCATAAATTTTTCTGAATACTTATGGACCACACTATATATTCAAAAAATATATAAAAAAATCTGCTATCTCAGCTTGAAATAAATAGTTTTGAATTAAATTATTTAAAAAATATAATTAAAAAGCTTATTATAATAATAGTAATCTTTTGATTCCTTTTCTAATTATATTAGTACTCTTTCTCTTATTTAGTTTTATTTTTTTGACTATATAAAGTTAATTTTGATTTTGTTATAATATTATATTAATTTTAATTTGAAATATTAATTTTATATTTTTGAAAGTAGAAGATTTTTATTATAAATAAGTCATACTTTTTTATTTTATTTATTTTTAAGAGTAAAAAATCTCTACTATAAATAAGCTATACTCTTTTTAATTAGTTAATTTATTGTTTATTTTATTATATTAATAAGTTTAGTTATATCTTATATAAATTATATGAATTATTTAGAATTTATTTTTAAATAATTAAAATTAAGATATATTATAAACTCTTAAATTTAAGTAATTCTCTATATTATTATTTTTTTATTAATTTTTTGTAAGAGTTACTTAAATTTAAAAATTTATATATATAATATTAAATTATATATTACAATATTATGCAGATTAAATTGATTAATATAAAAAATTTTAAATATCTTTATTCTTTTAAATTTAAATTTTCATATTGCAAATTTTATATTAATCTATTATATAATAATTTTTGATATAAAGATTATTTGTTTAACTTTTTTAAGACTTTTAAATTTGAAGAGAGAGAGAGAGATTATTTATTCTTGAGGGTTATTTAAATTTGAAAGTTTATGATATGTAATATATATATAATATAATATAATATAATATAATAAAATATAATGAGTAATATTATAATAATTATATTTATTATTATTAAATTATAAGATTATTTATTTATAATTATAAATAAGATAAAATGAAATAAATAGTTTTAATTTATAAATACTTATAATTTTATTATTTAAATAGTATTCAAATTTAAGATAAAATTATAAATAGAAATAATATATTTATAAAAAATAAAATAAATATAAAATATAAATAAATTATTAATATAAATTATATATATATTAAATATAATTAATTAATTTAATTTATATTTTTAGAGAATAATAAATCATAATTCAATAAATTAATAATAATTATAAATAATATAAATAATAATAAAAGAGAATAAATAAAAATATAAGAAATAAATTAATAATAAAACTAATTAAAAATATTAATTAAAAAATATATGGTAATCATTTGCATAATAATATATTTAATTTAAATTAATTAAATATATAATAATTATCTATATTTTCAAAGTGAAATTAATCTTTAAAATAAGTAATACAAAAGATAAAATATAATATAAATAATGTAAAATAAAGATCCAAGTTAAAATAAATATAATCCAATCAAAATTATTATAATTTTTATATATTTTAATAATTTTAAAAAACTTTAAAAAATATATTATTTCTTAATTTATAAGATAAATTTTATTAAGCAAAAGATCTTATTATATAATCTTTTAAAATTAGCTAATTATTTAATAATAAAATTTACAAAAAATTTTTTATAAATTTTTGAATATAAAACTTTTTATTATTATAATAAAATTTTTAATTAATAGAAATTTAATTCTAATTCTAATTTTAGTTTAATCAAGTACTTAATTTGAATTAAAATTATATAAAATTTTATTAAATTAATCAGTTTTTATTTATTAATAAAAATAATTATAAAATTTTATTAAATTAATCCATTTTTATTTATTAATAAAAAATAATTAATAAAACTTTATGATTAATAAATAAATAAGTATTATATAATAATAATAATATTTTTAAAAAATATAAAAACAATTGGCAGGCAAATTTACCAATATTTTTTTATTTTTGATAATCTTGTTTTTTATTGGCTTAATAATTTTATTTAGAGATATTTCATTTAGTAATACTTGAAAAAAGAAAAAAAATCATGTTAAAGAATCATGAAAATATGAAATAGAAAAGTATTTCAAGTTATAATATTTGAAGATAATTTGTAAGAACAGCTTATTTACTTGTAATAAATGTAAAAACATACTTATTTGCTTGTAGTTAAATATAAGAATGCGCTTATTTGCTTAGAGTACATATTATAATGTGAAACCATCTGGCCATGACACGTCTAAACAAACAAAGCATAAATATAAAAGTCTGAATTTCGAACCTACACTCATTGGACAAAAGTCTGGAATTGGCAATGTTTTATATATATAAATCATTGCCGATTCTATACTTTTGTTCAATAAATATACGATCATTGGATAATTTATAAAAAAGCCGAGTTCGCCAATTTTATTTGCTAGTTGAATGATTTTACATAAAAATCCCGCAACGATTCTTTTCTAAATCATGCCTACAGATTGAACAAAAAACCAACTTTGTTTTTTGATAAGAGAGTGGTAAGATAGGAATATCGAATGTCATAAATTTCTAGAGGCAAAAAAAAAGGGTTTGGGAAAGTATAGCCAGAAAATTAATTGATAATATAAACTAATTTCAATGACATTGCCAATTGAAATAATTCAGTTTTTTCCGTAAATATTGAGTGAATGAATTAAATTTTAGAGAATTTTATAATCAAGACAAAGTGATATCAGAAAATTATAGAAGTTTAAATTTTTTGAAAAACATTTTCCTGATTTTTTTTTAGTAACAATTCTAATTTTGAATGAATTAGTTCAGACAAAATTTATTCAAATAATTAAAATGAAAATTAATATTTGGATTTTACACATTTTCATTGGAGGTTAAAAAACACATTTTATTTCTGCAGCATTCAGTAAATCATAAATTGCTCTCAATGCGAGGCATTGAAGGATACCACAATTATTCGTCTTGGACCGAGATATTAAAAAATAAACGAGAGCTTTCGGATCGACATTCGTCAATTCGCATAAAATATTTTATGCACATTCAACTCTTTTTATTTTAGTACTTTATACACATTCTAATAACTCTATATATACTTTAAATATATAATTTTTTCAATTTATTGTAATTTTTAATTATCTATTTACAAAAGAAAAGATCTATTAAAAAAAATGAAAATAACTTTTAACGCGCTCTATAATAACCCGCCCAAAAATTAGTATTAGTATTAATGAATGGTAACAAATAAAAAATTATTATTTATTTTTAAATCATTTATTAAATTATTAAATTAAGTATTACTTCTATTTACTAACGAAATTAGAAAAAAGCTCTATTTTCCATAAAGTGGGATGATGAATTGGTTGAATTAAAGGAGTCAATAGTAAAATTTAAAAATGACCTGTATAGTAGAACTAGAAAAATTTATGTTTTGATGTGAAAGGATATTCTATTTATGATAGTGTATGTTAGAAAGAGCGTGTGTTTTTTAGTGAAGCGTGAAGATAAAAATACGAGGTTTTTGTAATAATGATCTTAAATGTTTAAAAAGAAGGTATAAGTTGGAATTTAAATTTTCGCGTAATGTATATCGTAATTCTCAAAATTCATGTTCTATATATTTAAGGATAGGGATGTTTTGTTATTTCTATAATAATATCGTAGATTGCTGTGGTTGAATTGTGAATATAGAATGAGAAATCGAAGGTGATGGATATTTTATGAATGACGGAGAGGATGTGATTTTTCTATAGTTCTTTATTTTAAATATGGCAAAAAATTTTGAGAATTTAAAATCTTCCGTTTTCTAGGACTAAATCGACAACTCAGCATTAATAAGGATTTCATTTTTTCTCATGAGGCAGTAAGCGGGGGGGGGTTTAAATAGGACAACACCAGTCAAACCAGAGTCTTCAGTGGTTGAATTAGGTCAGCTTCGCATGAATAGAATAGGTAGCCAGAGATGTCAATCAGGTCAGGTTGGAAAATAGATGACAGGCTCTCGATGAATTAAGATAAAGATCTTTTTTTGGTAGAGCAGGAAGCAGACGGACAGGTCGATAATTTATCATCATGGAGAGACCAATAGCATTAAATCCGAAAAAAACAGAAATTCAAATTCTCTCGAAGGGAAGAATAAATATAATAAATCTAAATTTTAACCAAGAATAATAAATTATAATCCCACTGTACAGAAAATAAAAAAAGAGGAAAATGTAATTAAAAAAAAATAAAAATTAAGATAAAAACACGAAACCCATAAGATAAAAAGTCCGTTTCTCTAAGAAAGATAAATAAATTTTAAATATATATTATCGAAGTTTTTGCTAAATAATTATATATATATACGAGGAAAGGGCAAGCAGAAAGAAGAATTCGTGTGTGTGTATAAACATTATAAATTTCTTGTTGCTATCCAGGCAACAACAGCTTATACACACTCAACTTGGTCGTTTACTAAAAATGCTAAGATTGAAGCTTCGCATATGTAGTAAATGAAATAAAATATTATTATAATTATATTAAATTCTAAAGTATTAAAAAAAATATAAGAAAAAATTTACAACAAATACCGAAAAAAACATAAAATCGATGATTTTTTCAAGGTATCTGAAATGATAGTGTCGGGAATTAACAGTGATCAAATAAATAAGAACCACGCGTAACGTATTTTTGGGTGAATAATGTTTTTTGACGGTGATTATAAAGTTAAGGAAGAAAAAATTTTGTTTCTATCTATCTATAGATTGTTGTATAAATAATATAAAATATCCCGCACACCCAAGAAGATAAATGTTTAATTGCATAGGCAAATTTCTAGTTGAATCTATAAACATAATGTTCATTGAAATTGAATAAAACCAAATTGTTCCTTTTTGAGAGAATAAAAATTTATAATTGTAGAAATATAGATCAGACTTGTCGACAATAAACACAAGAAACCGAAATAGAAATTAAAAAATCAGCGTGGTAAGATGCCTTAGTTTTTGGTGGAATTTCGTGAAGTGCGTGGACGAGAGCTAGTTCCAGCATTTACAGTTGATGACGATTCGTTAGGAGTGGATGTCGAAGCTTTTGGTGTAGACATAAGAGGAAGTCTTTTTCGTGGAAGTTCGACTACAATGCGGCGACGACGTAAATTATCTTGGCATGTGTGATCACAGTACCAAGGTTCATTGTTGGCCACTATTTCGTCTTCGATTCGTGAGCAATGACAGTTTTGATGGAAGGCTCGTGGACAACCTTCACATCGTACAAGAACATTTCCTACATAAGATTCTTTCTTATGACATCCGGTGCAGACTAATAATTATTAAGAAAAATTAGTTAATTAATCATTTTATGGACACATTAAATTGATTGATTGGCAATAAAATACATACAAAGTTGTAGCACTGGACGATCACGTTTCTCGACTGGTTCATCAACGAAGCTGGTCAAATCAAGACGTGGCTGTTTGCAAGCAAATCCATATCCTTTGTAATCACATCCATGCTTGCTATTATTGTTAAAGACAAAGATGGCCATTATTAAAAATTATGAATATTCATCAATTACTTCAATATCAAGAGATTCAATGAAAACAAACTTACTTGCACAGCGTTCTCTTGCCCCAAGGTCCCGGTCGCCAGTTAACACCTTCGGTTGTTCCACAATAACGACACCAATCAACCCCAGACTCAGTAAAAGATTCGAAAATGGTGGGAATTTGAGTGGGTCGTGGATCACATAATTCTTGTTCCACTTCTTCCATTTGCAGGTCGTCTTCACGTTGTTGAAGTTCCGAATCAGTGGCGGTGAGCAGTGAATCTGACGATGTTGGGGATTCGGTAATGAAAGGCGAATTTGGTAAACTAATTTTACTTTGAGGTTTTTCTTGAATTATCGCTGTATTTATCGTCAGTTTTGAGGTAGATTTTTTGACTCGGCGTTTATTGATCCCACTTTGTGTGCCGGTGCCATTTTTTGTAATACTGTTGCCATTGCTATTATTGTTACTAGCATTATTCTTTAATTTTGATTTTGACACCTTATTGGAGGAAGTCGAAGCGGAAGAGGTGATGGTTAAATTGGTTGTGATCTTCAGTTTCTTGTGAGTTTTATTTATCGTTCCTTTTTTGGAGATCGTTGTTTTCTTGGATAAAGGCCGATATTCTTCATCATCATCTTCATCAGTCTCTGCATCCTCCTCACTGCTGGGCAGATATTCATCTTGTTGATCGATCACCATTTTTTCGGAATTGCTCGAATCCTCCTCATCAATATCAGACTTTTTCATCTTTAATTTTATTGGGTTGTTCGATATTTTCTTATTATCAGTGATTTTGCGCGATTTATTGCTAGTTAGCTTCTCGTTAACTTTGCCACTTGCGATTGTCGTTATTTCTTCTTCATTATCTGAAGTAACGCCTTTATCTGACCAACTAAATGATGCTTTTCGCTTACGTCTCGTATCACTTACTAGTTCAGGAGTTTTGAGCGGTGGACTCGGAATACTCGGAATATCAGAGTTGATGTCGATATAGCTAGGTCGAATCTGAAGAGGACGACCTTCAAATTGATGATGAACCCGCGATTCTAGGATCGAATCGATTACTGGACTATTATTATTACCGCTGGTAATACTACCGATATTTTCCTCTTGTTCTTTAACCTCATAGTTATTATTGTCAACTAAGTTATTATCATCGTTATTATTATTACTTAGTAACATTGGATTGATTGCGGCCACCGGAGGTTCTGGTACTGCTAGTAACGAGGGAATACTTTGTAACGCATTTTGTATCGCATCGTTAAGCTTTAGCATATTAATCTTTGATGGCTTGAAGGTTGTGGACGTGTTACTTTCCTTGATTTTGTTATTGCTGTTAGTCATGGAACTTGATTTTCCCGAAGACAACATGGAGGTCACAGTTGTTGTCTGGATATTCAATAACGAATCTTTGACACAGTCCGCATCTCCATCATCGTTAAAAAATAGATTAAATTCTTCTTCTCCACCCAAGAATTCGTTAGGAGTAGTTGGCGAGAGGGGAGGAGAATTGTCCCGGCCAGGCGTCAATGCTTCAGTATCTGATGACGCTTCGCTGTCAAAATGCAAAAAACCCATAAAATCTTGATCATTTTTCGAGAAATCATCCGAGAAGAACACATCATGCAAGATGCTATTTTTCAGGACGGCTTTCTTCTCCTCGTAATGTGTGATTGGGATTTGCTCGTATAATGAGATGTACGATGATGAGTCTGCTGAGTTTTCGATGGCAGAAATTGGCGGATTATTAACAACCACCGAATCCGATGATGGCGAGGATGTGATGAGAGGTTCAGCAATATTTTGGGTGGGAACTGTCGTAGACGAATCGATATTTGCTGACGCTAACTCTTGAGATATCAATGGACGTTGAGATGGGATATCTCGTGGAATTCGAGTGTGTAACGTCGAAGGGATCAATTGGTGCATCATTTGTTCATCCTGCGCAGACCTATTCATATCAATTCCCGAGTTCGCCCAGAATCTATTCTTGCATTTATTGCATGCTGCTTGATTGACAAATGAATCGATTGGCATTCCCGAATTTACAAACATGTTCGTGCAATTATCACAGAATCCAGCAGCTACAGCATCTAAACCTGCTGATTGCTCAACTCTCGATTGCTGTTGTTGCGATGATTGAGTTTGTCGTTGCTGTTGTAGTTGATGATAAGGTTCTACCAATCGCTGTGGTTGATGAGATTGTAATATTCGCCCTTGCATCACTGATTGCTGTTGTTGCTGATGTGAAGATGGAACATGTTGATATCTATTCATAAGATAAGCAGCAGCTTGTTGTTGCTGATCATAATAATTTCCACTATATCCATGCATGTGTTGACCGCTGTTATTATGATGCTGCTGTTGATAATAACCTGGCGAAGAAGGAGGTTGATGAAAATATTCCATGGGAGACGGCATCGGATGCGGCGATAGCATAAGCATGTTGTCTTTCGAAAGGTTACCAACATCAACAATCGATGACACCGCGTAATCCTCTGGTGACCCGAATTGTGTAGGCACAACAACTGGTGGTGTGTATATTCTTGGTCTTGGGGTCAAATTTCGTTGTTGGTGATGAAGAGGTTGCTGATATTGTTGGTGATGAGGAATCTGTTGTGGATGATGGTAAATTTGATGGTTGGGAGACACGCGTCGTGACATTGGCAAAATTTGCCTTGGTGCCGGGCTGGTGTTATTATGATATTCGTTATTGACTGAAGAGGAAGGGGCGGTGATGGGAGATGTTGATGCTGATGAAGTATAATTTTGCTTCGATGTGCTTGCCATCGTGGATGTATTATTATTATTTTATAATATTATTAATATAAATAAATGGACCTATATATCATGAAACAAAAGGGAATGAAATAATTAATTAGTCAATCAATTCAACATTCGAAGAATGATGTTATTTTTGGCTATCGTCGTATTATTGCTGCCGTTATTCTACTATTGCTGCTGGTTACTATTACCACTACTACTACTACTATTTTTTTTTCCTGCTGTTCGAGAAATATTTTATGCTAGTTCTATCTATCTCGCTTATGTTTCAATCACTCGAATCAGATATTTTAGTGATGATGATAATGATATGGATAATGGTATTGTTGGTCCTGTCTGTACATGCATGCGTCTGCCTGTCTGTCTCTATATATTGTACTATTATGATTTTTGACTTTTTACTGAAAATTTCGCGTCGTGCTGAAAATTAATATTTGCATAAGGTGTGGTGTTTTCTCGACCATTTTCGAGTCTATCTTTTCTTAATGTGAAATGTGTATGTGTGTGTCCGGGAATATCGTATGTTGTGGGTTACTTTATCACAAGTTCATCTTATTATTCCGAAAAGTTATCGGTATAGAAAGAAATAGGAAAGTGGGGTACGTTTTAAATGGGTGTGACAATAAATATATAAATGATAAATTCGTCGAAATAAAAAAATGATAGGAAAATGGGTAAAAGGGTGAGTGGGTGATAAAAGAATTAGCGAAAGCTTCTGAATCAAATAGAATTAGCGAATATTTCTAAGTCAATAATAAAAATTTTCATTTCAATTCGTTTCACCGTGCCATTGTTCTTTCTCAGTTCCGTCTGGTATGAAGATCATTTCTGTGGAATGTACGAAAATCATCTCGACGAATTTTTTTTTTAATTCTTTGGATTGCTTAGTTCCCTGTTTCCCTCGTTTCCCTTGTAGGTTGGCATTTTCTGAATATTTTTTTTTTAGTAAATATTCGGTTCTCTTGGTTGGCTTCTGTATGTTATTTGGTTTGACTTTTATCTATCATTGAATCTTCGATTCCTCAATTCTCTGTTTTCCGTTTCCATATTCTCGCATTATCATGAATAGTAGTAGCAATAGTAAGGGGCACAATATAGGTAACGTAGTAGCAGTCGCTATAATAAAATCGGCAACAACAAGAACGAACGAAGCGAAAACCCAAAAGCTAATTCTCTTGCTCCCTCTCAAAAGTTAGTAATATTCACCAGCCAAAAACCCAAATTAAATAAATAATTCACCACCACAACCACTTCGCCACATTAATGAAGATAAAAAAACCGAAAAAAAAACTTACTTGCAAGTTTTTCTATATTTTATTTTTTACCACCCAAATAAACTAGTACACGCGATTTTTTATTTATTTACTTTTATATATATTTATATACTGTATGTATGTATGTATGTATGTATGTATGTATGTAGAATGATATGTACTATCTATTATATTATTTATAGATTAATTGATATTTGTTAGTATTAGTATTATTGTTGTTTAAAGAAGAAAGGAGAAGAGGAGGAAAGGGAAGAAGGAAGGAGGTATATAAATAAATTTAAAATCGAATGTATGTCTAAAAAAAATATGTATATATATATGTATGTATCAATATATATTTTTATATATAAGAATGTTTATATATAAAAACATATAAAAAGGAAAAGAGTAAAGAGAGGAAAGATAGAGAGTGAGAGAAAAGAAAGAAAAAAGAAGAAAAAATTTTTGGTTGAAAGTTATAAAATATGAATTTTTTTTTGAAGAGTGATTGCAAAAAGGGGATTTCCCGAGTTTTGTAAGAAAAATTGGATTTAGGTATATATATATATAAATACATATATATATGCATGTAAGTAAAGATGTATGTACGTACTACTTTTTAGTATGTGTTGTTTATCTTCTATACTTCTTGTTGTTCCAGCAGTAGTAGTTGTTGTCTTCTTGCTTTTACTTGTTGTTATCTTCTTAATTTTTATCCACTTACTTGTATCGAGTAATAATTGCTGAAAGAATGAATATACTCTTTCTTTATCTATATATTATATATACTAATTTATGCTGATGTATAAATTATAAATTAAATAGACTTAATTAAAAACCGATAATGTGTGTGTGTGTGTGTGTGTGTGTATTTTTAGTTTTTTTTTTAAAGTACTATTTTTTTTTATGTTATCAAGGATATTGATAGGAATTGACTGACAAATGATGATAAAGAAAAAAGTTTTCTAGTGGGCTTGGTCACCTTCACTGGTAATGTACGTGTATATTCCTGCAGAAAATTTTTTTTATTAATTATTATTTTTATTAACTGCTTATTCTGAGATAGATATAGTAAGTTCGGGTCATGTCTATTTATATTTTCTTGTATTATATAACATCTATTTTAATGTATTACATAATTAATATAAATATATACGCGAAATATAAATATATGCGCATAAGAAAATTATATATTCAAGAGAAGTGTATGAGATATGACCGAGACGCGAGGATGCGCGCACGCGCGTAATAATTTGCTTACTATGAATGTCCTTAATTTCGTGCTTTCGTTGATTTATGTTTCGTCATCGTGTGGTTCATTTGATAGCATTATGCCGTGTGTCTAGATGCGGTTGGTAAAATGGCAAAAACATTTTTATTTTTATTTTTTTTTAGGGTTGACGATGATTTCTTGTTTCTTCCTTGGTTGTCTACCTCTATGATGGATTGGGAAAGATGAGGAGTGGAGATGGTGACAATAATGATGATAATGATGTAACAATGATTGACGATAATAAAAAAAAAATGATGATTTTTACAATGTAGATTGTTTCGAAAAACTGGTTGGGTGCACGGGACTCGATGTAACTAAGGATGAATTCAAATTCTCCAAAATGGTTTCCTTTTTTTTCACTGATTTAGATTATAATTGATTTTTATTCTAACTTCTAATTTCAGTATTACAATACTCTAACAAGAGAGAACAACTGTTCAATATAGAAATGCTGTCACTATTTTCCATTGATAATGATTATCATTAAAAAAAACAAGTTCAAGATGCATCATTTACCTACATATTATACACTCTTGATAACACTATTTAATATATTAAATTACACAATGCTATTTTATGTTTATTATTATACTATGTCACAATGTTATATTACGTTTATTATACGATACAATAGATCGATATCCTTGATTATTAAATTCCTGATAATGTGACCGAAATCGTTCATGTACACAAGTGTTCATTATGCGTATGTAAAAATACTGCTCTGTGCGCATGTGGTGTTTACATATCGTTCTCTGTATTAAAAAGTGACCATAATTTTTGGCGTGGATTACAAATTAAACGTGTCCGATTTTTTTTTAGGTAATTATTTATCGTCGCTCGATCACTCGCTCAACCACAATACGCGCGACGAGGTTTTTAAAACAAAAATAAAACATACGTTACGTACGTATTATTTTTTTGTCGGTATGCGAAATAAAAGACTAATTAAGTTAACGTTCCGATGCATTACAGTACAGCATATTAGTTTATGTTTTTCTCGTTTGTTCACCTTCTGTTATTCCTTTTGTCTCGGATTCGTTCGTCATCCTCCTGAATAGTCACCTCACCTGTGCTATATGTGGAACAACATTAACAATATTTATAAATAGAAAATACATCAAGAGTTCTGTTTATTCATATGTACATGTACATGTGTAAATTGGGATATTTCAGTAATAATTTTCCCGCCAATATTAATTGCTCGTTCTGTTTTTACGTTAGTTTAACGTTATTTCTTGGTGAGCTTTTTTTTTAAGTTCAGCAAATAAGATTAATTCATTCTTCATGTTTTGCTTCTCTCTTATTTCCTAGAAGCGTGTGTGCATAGGATCATTTTTTTTACTCGTCGACTTTAATAATAGCCAGTAGCTAGCAATTGGTGACGGGTAATAAATAGACATCGGGTGTTGTAGGTAGGTAAATAGGGTTAGGTAAACAAGTAGGCAGGCGGATCTATCAAACCATTTCACCAATCATTCATAATATTACTCCAAATTACATGGTGATTAAAAAAAAATATTCCAAAGTTTTGTCACACTTCAAACCTTATTATTATATGCACCATGTATGCGTATGCATATGCACATATATGTGCATGCATGCATGTAGTGGTTGGTATGTATGCATTCGATTTGACTCACCAATTCTATTTTATTTTATTATTGTTATAATAACATCGATATTGCAAGCATGCATGCATACATTAAATACGGACTTTCATGAAACAAACTTCCTACGCTATCTAGCCATCACCTGGTGCAAGATGAGCCGAAATAAAATTTTAATTCGAATCTCAATCTTTTTTTAATCGCGAGCTAAGAAAGAAAAAGGTTTCGTGATCGTAGTAAATCGAGAGGAGAAAAAAAAACAAATAGATGTCTTGTCCTAACTTTACTTCTTTCGGTCATCAAAAAGAACCAGATCCGACCGATGCATAGATGAGGAACAAGGAAAAAAAGGTACGAGGCTAAGGAAATAAAGAAGGGGAAGGGAGAAGAGCGCGCATTGACACAAAAAATTTAGAATGGTGGACCGAGAGCGGAGGTTATATGATCGCTATTTCTGTAAATGATCACACGAAAAGTAAATAAATATGCTCAAAGAAAATCTGACCCATCGAAATTTGACTGACCAACCAATGTACTCGATGGGTACTACTACATTTTCTGTAACGTTCACTCCTTCTGTTTGATTCAAACCGTTCATTCTACCGTTCCCCCGTTTACCAATTACATGCTAGAGTGGGTAGTTTGAGCGATTTGTTATTTAATAGGAAAAATCACATTAGTCAGATTATCATCGCGATGTTTCTTCTTTCCCAAAAATTAACCTTTTAAACAAAGAATCTCTTTCTTTTTTTATGTTTGAAAGAAATCGGCGTATTCCGTAAAAGGATAAAAAAGGAGGGGTTAATTTCTCATATTATCACCTCTCTACGTTATAATGTCTTCGTAACATGTCATTGTTAATAGCATTGTTTGTTTTTATCCTAAATTCCATTTATTATTAATAAAAAAACTGGAATTGTTGTTTGGGTTAGGCGTTATTTTATTGATGCCGTATTCAACATTCCACTACGTGTGTTAGGTCACCTAAAGATAATCGCATACACGTGATTATAATTGTATTGAAGAAGGCGTAAATCCACCACCATCACCTATCATGGTTTTTTCCCTGGATCTTTTACTTATTCGAAACGAAATGTTTTGATCAAAGATATTTCCACACGTGTTTGTTCCAGCTGAGATGATATCGCGAGCAAAAAGACGGTGCGTGTGTGTGTGTGTGTGTGTGTTACTTCTTTTCACATGTGTTTTCGAACCACGTTTTGTCTTTTATATATGGTCAAAGCATTTGTTTAGATAACAAATAGCACACATTGTTTTGCATGCTGACAATTATAACACGAGAATCGCGTGGTATAATAATAACGGTCTTCAATATTATCAAACGCCAATCAAGACAACAATCGACCTTTTATGAAGACGAATCGCATGCAAAGAGCAGATAACTTTATCCTAGATGCACTTTGATAGAACATAAGAATCTTTGATCATAATATTCTGGAGTCAAACAAACCTTCATTCATCACGTAATAAAAAGCGAAAAAAATGTTGATTGAACCAATTAATTAATCGACAATGAAATTTTTTTAAAACATGTAAATCCCGAAATATTAGCAAATATTTGTGAATTATCGATCATGCGTGTATTAGTCCCAAAAAAAATTCACTTTTCCGACTCCACATTCGATCAATCATGAATTAACTAATTCGCACCTTTTTCTTTTGCTGACAAATATCCAATAAATGATCGTGCTCTTTTCATATTTCTTTTTGTGTAGCTACCTTTCCCGAAAAACAACATCTGCATAATTTATGCACTTGATTATTAAATGAGCCAAATAATCGCGAAAATGGGGTATATAACAAATACAAACGCTACAGACGATTGATTACGCATTAATCCCGAAATTACCACATAAAGTTTTTAACTTTTTTTGGTTTCTCTTGGTGCAATTTTCCAAAGAACGAGTAGAGTAATTAGATTCTGATGATGTTTGTATTTCTCAAGGAAAGTTTGATTATCTTTATTTGTGTAATGCATGGTAAATTTCTTTCATCCCGTATTATTTTATCTCGAGAATTCTTCATTCGAGATATTACGGATTAATTTGTCAATCTGATGGTTCTGTTATTGGGAAAATTAGTATCTGCGCAATTATTTTTGGTAGACGAAAATTATTCCTAATCATCATAAAAGAAATAAAGTTCAAAACCCCCATGTATTACAAAAATTAAAAGCATATTTATTTATCGTAATATGTGAACGTATCGGGTGGGACAGATCACTTTTGCAAATGCACAATGCGAGTACATGCATGCAATGACGAAGAAATAGCGATAGCTATTCAGATCCCAAGAAGAAAAATTAATGAATCCTTTTGATAAGGTTTTCTTAGATACTTCCATTTATAGTAGACAGTACACAAATTCGTTGATTACATTACATATTAACTACTATTTATCAATGATTTGTGAGGTACATTAGCAACTTAAAAAAAAGATCCGTTCAATGGAATAATAACAAGCGAACACATGATTTAACTACTCACTCGGTTACCCGTAATTTGCCATATAGACCCGTAGCTTTCACTGAGCTTATTGGTTGAATAAAGATATTACTTGAAAAGTGAATAGTTTTCCACACAATTAATTATCTTTTTTTAATCTACGATAAAATTAAATCATATCTGTAAATAATTGTGATAATAGTAGAGACGAATTACGCGCGTCAAAGTAAACAAAAGAAAATTTAACCATCACCAATTGTTGTTGTCAATAATTATTTATTATCGTTTCGAATTTTTAATTGGATGTTCTTTAATTCTTATCAAAAAAAAAAAATTCTCAGCACTAGATTCTTACTACATTAATCTCGTCGCCTATAAGAGACCTCACACAGAAAAATCTAATTTGTAATTGAATAAACATTTGCCACAAAACAAACTACAAAGAAGCTGGGAAAGGGACCTATTTAAACGACAACGATCGCAAAAGAAAAATGTGTCAAAAGATCATGACACATAGTAAATATTTACACCTCACTTTAACGAAGAATTTCCCCTAATCCATATATAATAATAACACGCATCATAGAAACGCAACAAGACAAAGAAACACATAGTTTTGTTAGATAGCAAATCAAAATCAAGATTCAACTTTATAATTTCAAATTTAAATTTATAATGTATCTTATTATATCCCGACCATAAGAGTGTTACCAATAGACATTCTTATTCTAAGTGGTGTCACATGCGAAGGAATCACCTCACACTAGGTAACATAAATGTTGATCTTACGCGTCAAACCATTATTCACATTACACGGTTGTTACTCTCGTAGATAAATTACATCATAATTAATTATACGCATTAACAGTTACTCCCAAGAATGAAAATAGATCAGGGGAACTTGCTAAGAAATTCTGGTTTTTTTTTTTTTTAAAAAAGAATTTACTAAAATATTTGAGTTGGAAATCATTAATTACTAACGACAGATGAACAGCAAAAATTATCTACGAATGGCAATCATGTTCCGAATCGTATCATAAATGCATGTAATAAGAATAATAGCAATACTAAAATAATAATCGGGAGTTTGACAAAAATTCTAATAATGTTGCTGTAAGTGTTTTTGGTTGATAATTGGTTGATCATGCGCACGATGTTTATTAATCTTAAAAGGAAAACACGTTAAACGTAAAAAAACCAGCGACCAATTCATGGCAACACAGTGAATGAAATAAAACAAATAAACTATCTTCATACAATTGGTGCGTTATAATTAAAAAGAAGTAACGAGATTCACCAATCAAAGATTCTTACGTTAAATCTAAAATTTGAAATTTCGCAAAAATGATAAATGTCTGTGAATAGCATCAATCGGGATCCACCAAAAAGTAACTCTTTTCTCTCCACACGATTAAAAAGAAATTTAATTCCATTTCTGTAATAAATAAATTAATGAATGAAAGATAATTCCATACCACCATACCCCAAAAAGTGATTCTATTACTATGAAGAAGTCGGGGATACCACAAATAAGGACGATCGTCCCAACAGTTCAAAATGGTGAGTTCGGTATTTTCAAGACCTATGAATTTGAAATGGAGGTTTTCTTATTTTTCGGAGGTTTCCTATACGGCATTACATGAATGAACGGCCTCACCATTATTAATTATGAAGAAGATTGACAATCAATGAACGAATGCATGCATGTGGATACGGATACATTACATATATGCACATAAAGGAGCTAGCTAGAATATGGAATACATGAAAAAATCAATCTCTCTTTTATTTTACTTTTTTTTCTCTCTCAAACGAAGAAGAATGGTTAGGAGTTTTTTTTTATGGTTCTTACCCAGCTCAACAATCTTGAATCATGAAAATCAAACAAACTTGCCATAAATGTTAGGGAACAATGGAATTTCATATTGCTTGTGAAATTTTTTTCTTTCACATGATTCCTTGTTAGACGATACATTTTGTGATACAATAATTGATCAAACCATCCAATCCGAAGATGATATCAATGCATACCTTCTGTATTTGGACGAACAAGTGATTCAAGGATCGTGTGGTCATGGTGTGATACATACTACTTTCATGTCATATTATTGGTAGTTCTCTTTGCAAAATGCGCATAACGATCGCTTGCTTCGGCATAATAGTTCGGTGGGATGCAAGAATAGGATAAATTTATTTCTGAGACGAGATTTATGATGTAACCATCAGCACGCGCGTTCATTCTTTGAATCACGCGTCATTTACTTTTTTATATATACCAATACGCATCGTTTCACATTTTTTTTTTTTAGTAAGCGTGTATTTATTGAACTTTTATGAACAAGAAAGTTAACTTGTCTTAATTCATATCTTTTTCCTTTTCTTCATCAAAAGTTCTTCTTTTCGTAGCAACAAATTCATTCTATATTATCATCATCTATCATGTCACAAGCGCAAGCTTTAATATTTGGTCAAATAAAGCACGCTAACAAGACTTTGGCCGAACTCAAAGATAGACATATCATCTTTGTAATGAGATTTTTCGATTTCTTTCGTGTTCTATTTTCCTCAATGAACACGATAAATTACATTTTTTTTTTTTAATTAGGAATATAACGGAACAAAACAAGAATTCATCTCTTCAACACCCAAATTCTATGACAACATCTCCGCAATCCTGTATTATGCCACCGAAGCGGATAGAGTGAGTATGGATCATAATAAAATTACATAATCCATAAACTAATTTTCATAGTTCTATTTATAATCACAAAAAGTCAATCAACAAAATCGATAAAGAAATACTCTCAGTTCTTCCGACAAGTGTCATATTAATTCTGGTGATTGGCGACGCGAGGGAATCTGTCGATATCGAGACTGCCACAGAATTAGGTAATTAACGTATAATCTATGTATATATTAATCTTATAGTATTCATTAATTCGATTCATGTCTTATATAATTAATTAGGCATAGCGGTTTCGGATACTAATAGCACTTTAACGGGGAGCTTAAGTCAAGGTATGTGCTCATTTTTGTCTTACCATACATAGGCTGCATCAAGTAATTTTTTTTATGATATATTCGAATAAACTATTTCTAGAGGAAATAGAGGTAAGCGTCTAACAACATAGTTCTATTGGAAATATGTGTTCATCCCAAATTTTCGTCCAATTTAATCATTCTTATCCATATACACCAAAAAAAAAGAAAAAAGCTCTAGAAATTTTAGATGACACGTTACTCACCAATACACCTGCAAATCCAATAAACGATATTGAAGTAGTGGAGAAGAATGCGATGGAACGAGTCAAGGGTTTGATAAATTCATTGGGAACTTTTGACGAGTTCGATGTTACAAATGGTGTACAATTTTTTAACTAGTTGGTGGTTAGCTGGATAGCTGAGAACGCGTTTGCTTTTGTGGTTGGCGGGTGTTGATTCAACTTTTTGTAATCTATAATAAATAAAAGAGGAAATGAATATTTTATTCGAGATTTAACTTATCAATGTCATTTTATAACTGTTTCCATCATGAAAATTAAACATACGGTAATTACTGCCTCTTCTCTTATTTTTATCGAAAGTAAACCGGATTTTTCATCTGATAGATTTTTAGACATATGGTCACAGCGATAACTTAGAAGACTTGAAAGTCATAATAGCCAACCCTGATCAGTGTGCCAAAGCTAGATTTATTAACTTGGTACAAGATATATCAGAAAACTGTGTTTTTCCGAGTGTCCAAGTGCCGTACCTTAACCTGACAAATTTGAGATATATAAAATTAAACATTTTGATTTGTTATAGTATCTTGGGGAAACTTATATCAAAATGATATTAGGTAGTGCTCTCATTACTATCGATAATGGGCAAAAGCATGTTCATCGTTGGTATCGTCCGCTTTCTTTATATATGCTACAATTTCTTTTTAAGTCTGTTAAACTTTCGTTTTTGCTTATCTTTCGACATACACCGTAATTTACTGTTTAAATGCTCGGGGTTTTTTACATTCCACGAGCTGAGACTCGATTTGTACCCGGGGGATACATTGTACGGTGAGAGGGTATATTGATTGGGTGATATTTTACATAGAAAAGATAATTTCAGCCAGAATTAACCTATGTTTGACCAGAATTACAAGGGGAATTCATTTTGAAATCTACGAATTGTACCGGGTAGGATACAGAGCATCACTGTAAATGGCGAACTATGGTAATCATTCCCATGGCCATGTTTCATTTTTTGCATGACATTCGATATACTGCAAGAATCCAAGCTAATTTTTTGTGCTTTGACGGACATGGGTGCAAGGAAGAAAGAGTAAGTACATTAATACAATAATCTCGGTTGAAGTTGTATCACCCGTAAATGAATACGTTAATCTAAAATTTGGTGTAAAAACAGGAAAGTGAAGGAGAAATAATTCTAGCGGTAGGAATACTGTGCATTTCATATTACTTGTTTTGTTTTTTAAAAAGTTTGCATTCGTACTTGATTATGTTAGTATCTTATCCTAGCCAGGGTCAAGTTAAGATTATATAAATGCACCTTATGTTACCATAAAATGTGGTCTTAAGTAACCCCCGGCGGACAATGGTACCCTCCATGGTTTTTGAGAGCGGTTTTTGTATAGTACGCGGTATTTTAACAATTCAAATAAACGGAAAAATAAATTGTGTGACCTTGAAAGAGTACCCACCCTGATTCGAGGAAATTGCATTGGTACCCGGGTATTTGAGACCACGTTTTACGGTAATGCACATCCTCCCTAAATGCATCTTCTGCCTGGTTCTTTAAATGCTCAGTCCGGGTTGACCAAAAATCTGCGTATTCCTATTCTATTAACTTCGGGACGCAAAAGCTCAATTTAATGATCGAATTGGTTCGACCTAGTGATATCAATCGAGTGTCTAATCGATTAGCAACATCAACTATAGTTGTGATCAATCGATTATAGTTTGCTGCTCCACATTGTACCAAACTAATCGAATAGTCAATTTGGAACGATTAACTGATACATGTAGGGTTAGTTACGTTACTCCGACAAACACAATCCCGACAATTCATAAGCTCAGACAAGGTTCCGAATGTACGGCATCCCGAATGCACGAAATCCCAAACGAACGGCATACCAAATGAATGGAATCACGAATGAATATACACGAAATCTTGATATTGTGATTTTGGCATTTGGAATGCTATAAATTTTTCTGTCGGGTTTGTCATACGGATCCTTGTGATAAAACGAATACTATAAACCATCTTACATATTATAAATAAAAATTTTACAGTGCCATCTGTTTATTTTTAAACTATTACAACGCTCTAAGTTTCCCACCTATATATTTAATATGAGCACTATAGGAACAAAAACCTTGAAACGAGCATCTTTTAGTATATTTTTTGATAGGGTTACGAATTGAATAATTCCAATTATTTAATTGACCATCTGTTTCGAAAAAATGATAAAAATAATTTATTTCCTTCATGAAAGTAATATAAAATACACATATATAAATTTAAATGTTATTTTGATTGAATATAAAAGTAAATGCGCGTACTTGTATCGGTGGGAAATAAAGAATCGATTGGTATAATATTTCATGCTTTAAAATACATATTCTAAAGTATTATAATATCGAAATGCAAAGTACCTCCAATCTTTTATTATTGATAGATTCTATAAAGTCATCAAAGTTTCTCAGCGGTTGGCCTGTTTTCTGAAATGCGATCCAAACTTTTTTCAATATCGTAGGTTATATATGCCGCGTCGCATTCGAGATATTTGCCATGGCTCTGCTCGTTCATCAGTTACATATTCTATAAATATTGTAGCGTTAGTATACGGTTTTCCATTTTAGGAATAATTATCGATAATCACTAATATTAATAATTATAACTATAATAGAATGAATCGTGATAAGCTCCTGCTATAGAAGTGAATTCTCATTTGTAAATGAAGAGGTTTGAAAATTTATTATAATTTAATAAGAAATTACTCAAATAATATAAAATATATGGGTCAGTGCAAAAAGGTTGTACCTCAATATAAAAATCAGTAATTACTTCTGATAAAAATCATTCAAATTTTAACCAATCCTTATAATTTTTTTATATTAAATAAAAAATGATAACTTTTTATACTATTTTAACTATTTATCATATTTTAATTCAATAATAATGAAGCATTACTTTACTAAAAAAAAAACTAAAATAAAATTATTTTTTTTAAAAAAAGATATTTTAAGTATTATCACTATCAATTTGCAATATTAGAACTTTAAATTACACAAGCAAGTTGTCTTAGATTTGATAAATATATGTTCTAAATTGAATCAGTAGTTACAAAGATATTAAGGTTCAAAGTTGAGTAATAAAATTATTTACTATATAATTTTTAAATCAAATTTTATATAGTAAAATTTAAGAAATAATAATTGAAAAAGTTATTATTAGTAAAAATTTTTTTTATAAAAGATATATAATAAAATTTTTATATTTAAATAAATTCCAATACTTCTCAATTTAATTAAATAAGACAGAATTAAAAATTTTATTTTGAAAAAATAATCTATTAATATTTATCTGAGATATAAATCTTTTTGCATCAATTCATATATATTTTAATATTTATAAAAAAATTTACTTAAGATTATTTATTAAAGAATATTAGTATTATTTTTTTAAATTAATTTTTAGATTAAAAAAATTAATTTAGAAAAATAATTAGAAAAATTTTATAATAAAAAAGTTTTATAAAAATATCATGTAAAAAATAATTTAATCATATTTTTCTTTATTATAAAATAAAAATTTATTATAATTTACTAAATATACTTAATATATAAAATAATTTATCAAATTATTTTTAAAAAATTTTTTGTAAATAGATTTGAAAAAATAAATTTTTGAACTTAAAATTCAAGTTTATAAGAGAAATTACTTAGATTTTTATTAAATTATATTATTTTTTTATTTTTAAATATTAAAAAATATATATAAAATATTTTTTATTATTTAAATAATAATTATTTTTTAAAATAATCTAAATGAAATATCTTGTTCTAAAATATTTTTCAGAAATTTATATAATATAATTAAGTATTTAATCTAATAATTTAATTAATAAAGTATAATTATTTCAGTTTTTTTATATAATTATTCAATTTTTATTTTAAAAAAAATATTTAAAGACTTTTAAAAAACTTATAATAAATATAAAATTTATATATAAAATAAGAATACTTATTAAAATTTATTAAATTTAATAAATATTAAAACTAAAATACTAATTAACTATTAATTATTAATATATAATATATTTTTATTATTATAAGTCTTTTTAAATTTTATAATATGACAAATTTATTAAATTAATTAACTATTAATATATAATCTAATATATTTTTTAAATTTTAATAGTATTTTATAACTTTAATAAGTATTTTAATATAAAATATAAGTTATAAATTTTAAATATTAAAGAGAATAAATATATAAAACTTAATTATTAAATTTTACTTAAAATAATACTTTTTTTATTATATTTATTAATATTATAATTAAATAACATATTATTAATATTCTAATATAAATATAATTCTTAAATTTTAATAAGTATTCTTAATATAAAATATAAGTTATAAATTTTAAATATTAAAAATATAAATATATAAAACTTAATTATTAATCCTATCTAAAATAATATTTTTTTATTATATAATCTGATATAAAGATAGCTTCTTAATTATTATAATATAATAATAAATAAGTATTATCTAGTTATAACTAGTTATAACTTATAAAATTTTGAAGTTGCAACATATTATAATAAGTAATAAATAAGTATCACATATTTATTATACCATTTCTAATCTGATATATTAATATTTATATCTTAATTTAAAAGATTTTTATTTATATAATACTAAAATTACATATAATAATCCAAGTAAATCTATTTTCATATGATAAAATAATAATATATAGATATTTTTTTGTAAAATTCATCAATTTTTCATATCTAGTTTTCACATAAACTGAATTTTAGTACTACTAATAGTAAATAAAAAATAGATGATACTAAATATTTATAGATACTTTTTTAGAACTATATCTATAAATAAATAAAATAAAAATATATCATTATATAAGTAAGTTAATCTGATTTTAAAAGTTACAGAAAGTATAGCTAGAGTTGTATTATCTAATTAAAATTAATATAATAATAATATATTTATATCACATTAAAATCTTGAATAATTTAAATCTCAATTAGATAAAGATATTATATTACTTTTACAAGTTTATATTATAAATAGTAATAAGATAGAATAATAACTTTTCATATTTTTCTTATAATAATTTCTTTTTAAATATAG